GAAAACTATGTACTTCAGTGGACGTTGAAGGAGGTGCAGCATTCTTGATATCTGTAACTTTCTTAGGATCTGGAGACAGACCTTTGTCACTAAGTACATGTCCAAAGAATTCAATTTTATGTTGATTGAACTCACACTTTGCTCGGCTTAGCATCAAATTCTTTTCTCGTAAGCGTTGCAATGTTGCACGAAGAGCTTTGTCGTGTTCAGCTTGGGTACGGCCATAAACAATGATGTCATCAGACATGTTGTCAGCATTAGGTATGTCTTGCAATACCTGGCTGATGGTGTGCTGGAATACCTCGGCAGCACTGTTGATACCAAAACTCAGGCGCTTGTACCTATACAGACCTCGATGTGTCGTAAACGTTGTGATGAAGCGACTCTCATCATCAAGTTCAAGCTGATGATAGCCCTTGTTTAAATCTAACTTGCTGAATACAGTTGCACCATTCAAGCGGTAGATCATATCATCTACAGTGGGTGTAGGATGGCGTCCACGCATTATTGCCTTGTTGGGAACACGCATGTCCACACAAATGCGTATCTCATCTGGATTCTTCGGCTTTGGTGGAGTGACAATTGGGCTTACCCATGGTGTTGGGCCTGTTACTGGTTCAATGATATCTAGTTCCATCAGCCTATCCAGTTCGGCATCAACTTTCTTGCGAGTATGGAATGGTTGTCGGCGATGTGGTTGGGCAACTGGAATTACATCTGGGTTGATATGCAGATGTACTTTGCTATCAGTATAACAACCTATGGATTTAAATCGATCAGAAAATTCAGCAACAATACCATCAACATTGTTTGCAGATTCCACTGCTACAGCATTAGAAAGCTGAAGTAGCCCCAATTTGGTTGAAGTCTTGTAACTGAGTAAAGACTCCTTTGCATTCCTAACAACATGGAATGTAGTAATGAGCATTGCATTCTTTGACTTAATCTCTGCAGTGAAAGTTCCAATCACTGGCAAGGCTAACTTTGAAGCATAGGCAGTGGCTTTGCCATTATAGTTCTCAAGCTTTGGGAACTGTTTTTTAAATTTTTCATAGTGGCACTCAGCCATGGTGTCAATGTTTGATCCAGAGTCAATAAGAACTTTGAGACAAATACCAGCAATGTATACACATGTCTCTGGGTTGTTTGGAAGATCATTCCATTCTGTGATTGCTTGTACTCCATGAGTATAATCACATTCACTGTCATCTGAGACTGGTTGTAATGAAATGTTGTCTTGTACATTATTAACATTCTGGATATGAGGTGCAATATTGTGTTTACCACCTCGACCCCTATGACCTGATCCTCGTACAGTGCTTTTATTCATTAACTGTGGTTTCTTAAGTGCAGAACGACACATAGCACCAAAATGACCTAGTTTTCCACACTCATAGCACTTCTTACCTTGAGCAGGACAAACATTATCTTGGTGTGGGTAGTCTGCTCCACAATTGTAACATTTATTGTTGACACCCTCTGATGTGGGTCGTTGTGACTGCTTGAGCCTTGTTCCTTGACCCCAGTTGTGACGTAGTTCTCGGCTAAATTTACTGTTAGGTTTGCCATGATATCTTCTTTGATCACGGTGTCCTCCCTGAACCTTACGTACCTCATCACTGTTAGTAACAGTGGCAGAACCGTTATTAGCACTGAACTCCATGACACGAGCATCACGTGCAGCATCTTCCATTCGACGAGCAATATCCAGTATCTTGGTAAGAGAACTGTCATCATCAACAAGTTCTAGAGCTCTTCGACGAAGACGTGTAGATGTGCATGATTCAATTATTTGCTGTTTGATTTCTTTGTCAACATCAGCAAACTCACAATGGGCTGCTAAACCCTGCAGACGTGTGTGGTATTGATCCACAGTTTCATTAGAGAGTTGTTTTGCTCTCCTGAAATGCATAATTTCCATAGCAGTATTTTGCCTTGGTTTGAAATGCTCTGTTAGTTTGGCTTTGGCAGTGTCATAATCTTTGGCACCACCAGTGTCTTTCAGTGTGTCAAAGATGTCACAAACTCTATCACCTGCATAATGAAGTAGAAAGGCACGCTTTCTTTCAGCACTTTTGATGTCAGAAACTATCAACAAATTTTCAAACTTTTTAAGCCATTTGACCCACCTCTGTGACAGGTTTGTCTGGTCACAGTCAGGATCAAATGCAGGAAACTGAGGTATATTTGCCATATTTTACTGAATAAATGTAAACTTATCACTTAAATGTTCCTCAGAATATTAAACACTTACTGCACTGAATATGTTAGTCAAGAATTCACTGTAATTACTTTAATTTTGCAAAGCACACAAGCATTTTAATGCAAAAGTTCACAACAGTGCACAATATAGCAGCAACTGACTTCTTACCTAGCCCTTGTGTACATGTGTTGTTCCTACTCACAGCAGCAGCACAGCAGTTGGCACGGCAGTTGGTACAGCAGTTGGTACGGCAGCAGTTGGTACAGCAGTTGGTGCAGCAGTTGGTGCAGCAGTTGGTGCAGCAGTTGGTACAGCAGTCAATTCAGTGTGATGAATTTTGTAGCACGAAGCGTTGTTTCGTAACCAAAACATCAGGTTTTGTACACATCAAAGCGTCGTTTCGTACACAACGCCGGCAGATTCCTCAGTACACAGTTTCTTCAGCACAGCTTGGGTAGCACACAGCATCGGTTAGCACACAGCATCGTTTAGCACACAGCATCGGTTAGCACACAGCATCGGTTAACATACAGCATCTGGTATGGCGCTCACAGCTTCTCTTCCTCCTCCAGGCAGCATGCTTCTCCCTTGTGTTTGAAACTGAACAAATACCTGCGTTCACAGTTCATCCTCGTCGCCAATGTGGTGTTTGTGTGTTACTGAGGAAGTCTTGGTTGTAGGGTTGATGTAAAGTCATGACTTGGTTACTGACTTTAATACTTAATATGATTACATGACTAGTAGCTACCAAGCTTGGCGGGCGTCCTGTACGCTCTTGTTTTCCTTCTGTCTCTCTCTGGCGTCCCAGCCGCCGCACATAGAAAACGGATGGTACCATTTTCTGTGAACATGACAGTGGTGTGTTACAAAGTTATTTCCCTCCAGATGCTCTACGAGCCTTTTCCTCACGATCTTCTCCATCACCTTGCATGGTATACAAGTTAGGGAAACTGACCTGTTGTTTAGTGCCTCTTGCCTGTCACCCTTCTTGTATATTGGGACTACATTAGCTGTCTTCCAGTAGGTCCTCCGTTTCCAGTGGCCTGTTGTATATCATAGAGAGTGGCACACTTAGTGTTTCTGCACTCTCTTTTAGTATCCACTGTGAGATTCTGTCAGGCCCAACAGCCTTTGACAGTTATCACTGTGGGTGGGAGAAGCCAGGAGGTGGGGCAAAGGCTGCAGTCATCCCACAACAGACTTACTCCTGGGAACCTATTTACTGCTAAATGAACAGGTGCATTATGTGGTAGGAAATGTGCCCAACCATTTCTCTCTCGGCCGGGATTCGAACCCGAGATTTCCGATTATGAATCGAGAACGAACGCAACTGTCCTACCTAGACCCTATGTAGAACTATATCCGGTCCCCTTGATAGATTCTTTCGAGGTGGTGGTGATGGGGCAGGTTCTGAACATATTTTAATTGAATTGTGGTCTCTAATGTAATTCCGGGTCACTGACCATTGGCAGCTGAGATATGTTCTAAATGAGATGTACGAGTTCTCCAACGTCCAACGATGATACGGGAGCTCATCACCACACGGACGAACGCTGTAGTACTCTCTGGGGTTTTGCTGTAGGTGCTACTGTAGAAGCAGCAGCAGCAACAGCAGCAGCAGCAAAAGCAGTAGCAACAGCAGCAGCAGCAGTAGCAGTAGCAACAGCAGCAGCAGCAGTAGCAGCAGCAGTAGCAGCAGCAGTAGCAGCAGCAGTAGCAGCAGCAGTAGTAGCAGCAGCAGCAGCAGTAGCAGCAGCAGCAGTAGCAGCTGCAGTAGCAGCAGTAGCAGCAGCAGTAGCAGCAGTAGCAACAGCAGCAGTAGCAGTAGCAACAACAGCAGCAGCAGCAGAAGCAACAGCAGTAGCTGCAGTAGCAGCAGTAGCAGCAGCAATAGCAGCAGTAGCAGCAGCAGCAGTAGCAGCAGCAGTAGCAGCAGCAGTAGCAGCAGTAGCAGCAGCAGTAGCAGCAGCAGCAGTAGCAGCAGCAGTAGCAGCAGTAGCAGCAGCAGCAGCAGCAGCAGCAGCAGCAGTAGCAGCAGCAGCAGTAGCAGCAGCAGCAGCAGCAGCAGCAGCAGCAGCAGCAGCAGCAGCAGCAGTAGCAGCAGTAGCAGCAGTAGCAGCAGCAATAGCAGCAGCAGCAGCAGCAGCAGCAGTAGCAGCAGCAGCAGCAGCAGCAGCAGTAGCAGCAGCAGTAGCAGCAGCAGTAGCAGCAGCAGTAGCAGCAGTAGCAGCAGCAGCAGTAGCAGCAGCAGTAGCAGCAGTAGCAGCAGCAGTAGCAGCAGCAGCAGTAGCAGCAGCAGCAGCAGCAGCAGCAGCAGTAGCAGCAGCAGTAGCAGCAGCAGTAGCAGCAGCAGCAGTAGCAGCAGCAGCAGCAGCAGTAGCAGCAGCAGTAGCAGCAGTAGCAGCAGCAGTAGCAGCAGCAGCAGCAGCAGCAGCAGCAGCAGCAGCAGCAGCAGCAGCAGCAGCAGCAGCAGCAGCAGCAGCAGTAGCAGCAGCAGTAGCAGCAGCAGTAGCAGTAGCAGCAGCAGTAACACTAAAAAATGAACTTCGTGGCAATATACTTTAGTGAGTCCGAAATCACCATCACAACCAAAGCGAACGAAATATTAACCGCCAATCAGTTGTTAACATCAAATCACAATCAAGATTAACTCAGCATTAACACCATGACCATTAATGACATTAATTCAATTTTAACATCAAGTCACAACCACACGGAAGGTGACATTAACACAAATACAATTATTAACATCAAATAAGAAGCAACTTAACATTACCACAGACACCAACCTTGTGGTTCACAACCCCCCGGCCACACAACTGCCGGCCTGAGGCGCTTCAGGGCTTGGCTTGAGGGCGATGAAAGTGCTCCTAAGTTGTCGCTTGAGGACCTTGCCCAGGGAGTTCTTGGGTAGGGCCCCGACCACCTCCACACCCCCTCTTAGCTGCTTCAGGTCGGTTACTCGCTCTAGTGGAAGCACACAAGGAGGGAAAGAGAATGAGAGAGATGAATACATAAGTAGAAACCGAGAAAACCGAAAAAACGGAAAAAATAAGATAAGAGCGAAAACAGTCAAAAGTTTGATTTGAAAGAGAAGGCAACGAAAGGTAAGATGAGTCAGGGAGAAAGCAAGACGAGGATAGAAAAGGTGAAATTATGAACATAAATGTTGAAAGTATCTACCATTCAATAGGCACTATTATGTAATGATCAAATAGCTCAACCGTTACTACAAGCCGATCATCACTAAGCAAATTGAAGAATACCTTCATTGATATAAGAGGGAACATTTCTATGTTCACTTCAAAACACAGGAGTCGTGGAGAGCGTGACCCAGCAGGCGTAAGGCTCCACTGTACCCTCCACATTATGGTCACGGGAAACGTTTTGACCATCTAGTAGCCTAGTGAGAGTCAAGGCTGCAAGGGACTTTCATCACCTCAAGCAAGAGCTCGACAGGGAATAAAGCGGCTTGATCACCCTTGGTCTCTGGCGACCAATGAACTCCTAACTTCGTCTGGCAATAAAAGCAGATACAGAACTCGTGTGCATTTCTATATGCCTGCGAGCTCTTTGTTGATGCTGAGTGAAGCCCACAGTAAGCATAAAAGCATCAACTGAATCAGTACTAGTAAACACCTCTTCTATATTCATCCTACCTGCGACATACTGCTGTAGGTGAGCCGGGTCGAGGTGGGCGTGGTGGGCGGGTACTACCCACGCCCGGGGCACCTCCCCATACCTCTCACTGGGCACGCCCACCACAACCGCCTCCTCCACGCCCACCGCCCCTCGTATGACCCTCTCCAACTCTGCCGGGGACACCTGTGGGGGCACAGTGCCACATTATAGCATAAAGTATGCTGGGTATAGTATTGAGGCATACTAGTGCAATATATAGTGGGAGCATATTAGGACTATACCGATGTGGTGTAGCATAATCTAACATACACAATAACTGGTTCCTGTATGCTGTATTCAAGGATATTATAGCAAAGGAATACAACAAAAGTATAGATAAGTATAGTACAGTGTATAGCGAGGAACTCTGTATGATATTTTCGCAATAAAGATAAGAGTATTTCAAGCTATGTAAAATATAATGTATATAATGATGTAAATGCCTTGTGCCGTGAGGGGATGTATTGTGTGTGGTTAAATTGTGGTTAAATCGTGTGTGGTGTAATGTGTTGGGTTGTGACAATTGTCTTGTGGCAGTGTGGTGTGTGGTCGTGGCTTGGGTCTTGTGGTAGTGTGGTGTGTGGTCGTGGCTTGGGTCATGTGACAGTGTGGTGTGTGGTCGTGGCTTGGGTCTTGTGACAGTGTGGTGTGTGGTCGTGGCTTGGGTCATGTGGCAGTGTGGTCGTGGCTTGGGTCTTGTGACAGTGTGGTGTGTGGTCGTGGCTTGGATCATGTGACAGTGTGGTGTGTGGTCGTGGCTTGGGTCATGTGGCAGTGTGATGTGTGGTCGTGGCTTGGGTCATGTGGCAGTGTGGTGTGTGGTCGTGGCTTGGGTCATGTGACAGTGTGGTGTGTGGTCGTGGCTTGGGTCATGTGACAGTGTGGTGTGTGGTCGTGGCTTGGGTCATGTGACAGTGTGGTGTGTGGTCGTGGCTTGGGTCATGTGACAGTGTGGTGTGTGGTCGTGGCTTGGGTCATGTGGCAGTGTGGTGTGTGGTCGTGGCTTGGGTCTTGTGGCAGTGTGGTGTGTGGTCGTGGCTTGGGTCTTGTGGCAGTGTGGTGTGTGGTCGTGGCTTGGGTCATGTGACAGTGTGGTGTGTGGTCGTGGCTTGGGTCATGTGACAGTGTGGTGTGTGGTCGTGGCTTGGGTCATGTGACAGTGTGGTGTGTGGTCGTGGCTTGGGTCATGTGGCAGTGTCGTGTGTGGTCGTGGCTAGGGTCATGTGACAGTGTGGTGTGTGGTCGTGGCTTGGGTCATGTGGCAGTGTGGTGTGTGGTCGTGGCTTGGGTCATGTGACAGTGTGGTGTGTGGTCGTGGCTTGGGTCATGTGGCAGTGTGGTGTGTGGTCGTGGCTTGGGTCTTGCAGTGTCTGGTATACAAACTACTTGGTAATCTAGTGGAAAATCTATCACTTAAAAAAAAAAGTTTTCTCAATACTAAAACTACTACACATTGTTAAAGTTTGTTCATATATAATATATAAAAATATATATTTTTTATTGCAAGGGAACTTTAAACTTCTAAAATTCCTAATTAATATTGGTATTGCCGTATGGAAACCCACCTGAAACCCCTTAACTTTGATGATATCCTTAATCCGGTCGGTCAGAAAGATGAAATTCTTTTCATCGTAGTATGCGATGTCCCCAGTATGGAACCAGCCTTCCGGATCTATGGCTGTCGCAGTGGATTGAGGGTCCTTGGCGTAGCCCAGCATAAGAGAGGGTCCACGAACGCACAACTCACCCTCTTGATGATGGGACAGCATTTCTCCCGTCTCCAAGCTCACTACCTGAGGTATATGTACGGGGGAGTGGGTGGTTTTGTCAAACACACACACACACACACACACACACACACACACACACACACACACACACACACACACACACACACACACACACACACACACACACACACACTTACACACACACACACACACACACACACACACACACACACACACACACACACACACACACACACAAGAACTAGGAATCAAAAGGCTGGCATTCCGAAAGGGGAATTATGAACAGATGAGAAGTTTCCTAAGTGAAATACCTTGGGACACAGACCTCAGAGATAAGTCTGTACAGGGTATGATGGACTATGTTACCCAAAAGTGTCAGGAGGCAGTAAACAGGTTCATCCCGGCCCAAAGGGAAAAATCCGAGAAGCAACAGAAGAATCCATGGTATAATAGGGCATGTATGGAAGCGAAGAAAGTGAACAAAAGGGCGTGGAGGAACTTCCGGAATAACAGAACACCAGAAAGCAGAGAGAGATACCAGAGAACCAGGAATGAGTACGTCAGGGTGAGAAGAGAAGCAGAGAAAAGTTTTGAAAATGATATAGTAAATAAAGCCAAGACCAAACCAAAGCTACTCCACAGTCACATCAGAAGGAAAACAACAGTGAAAGAACAGGTATTGAAACTTCGAACAGGCGAGAACAGGTATATAGAGAATGACAAAGAGGTGTGTGAAGAACTCAACAAGAGGTTCCAGGAGGTCTTCACAAGAGAACAAGGTGAGGTCACTGTGCTAGGAGAAAGGGAGGTAAACCAGGCGGCCTTGGAAGAGGTCGAAATTACGAGAGAGGAGGTCAAGAGACACCTGCTGGATCTGGATGTTAGAAAGGCTGTTGGTCCAGACGGGATCTCACCATGGATACTGAAAGAGTGTGTAGAGGCACTTTGCTTGACACTCTCCATAGTATATAGTAAGTCACTGGAGACGGGAGACCTACCAGAAATATGGAAGACGGCGAATGTGGTCCCAATATACAAAAAGGGCGACAAGCAAGAGGCACTGAACTCCAGGCCAGTGTCCTTGACTTGTATACCATGCAAGGTGATGGAGAAGATCGTGAGAAAAAACCTGGTAACACATGTGGAGAGAAGGGACTTCGTGACAAATCGCCAACATGGGTTCAGAGAGGATAAATCTTGCCTTACAGGTTTGATAGAATTCTACGATCAGGTGACAAAGATTAAGCAAGAAAGAGAGGGCTGGGCGGACTGCATTTTCTTGGATTGTCGGAAAGCCTTTGACACAGTACCGCATAAGAGGCTGGTACATAAGCTGGAGAGGCAGGCAGGTGTAGCTGGTAAGGTGCTCCAGTGGATAAGGGAGTACCTAAGCAATAGGAAGCAGAGAGTTACGGTGAGGGGTGAGACCTCCGATTGGCGTGAAGTCACCAGTGGAGTCCCACAGGGCTCTGTACTCGGTCCTATCTTGTTTCTGATATATGTAAATGATCTCCCGGAGGGTATCGATTCATTTATCTCAATGTTTGCGGACGATGCCAAAATTATGAGAAGGATTAAAACAGAAGAGGACTGTTTGAGGCTTCAAGAAGACCTAGACAAGCTGAAGGAATGGTCGAACAAATTGTTGTTAGAGTTTAACTCAACCAAATGTAATGTAATGAAGATAGGTGTAGGGAGCAGGAGGCCAAATACAAGGTATCATCTGGGAGAGGAAATTCTTCAGGAGTCAGAGAAAAAAAAGACTTGGGGGGTTGATATCACGCCAGACCTGTCTCCTGCAGCACATATCAAGAGGATAACATCAGCGGCATATGCCAGGCATACGAACGGCATTCAGAAACTTGTGTAAAGAATCATTCAGAACTTTGTATACCACATATGTCAGGCCAATCCTGGAGTATGCAGCCCCAGCATGGAGTCCATATCTAGTCAAGGATAAGACTAAACTGGAAAAGGTTCAAAGGTTTGCCACCAGACTAGTACCCGAGCTGAGAGGTATGAGCTAAGAGGAGAGACTACGGGAATTAAACCTCACTTCGCTGGAAGACAGAAGAGTTAGGGGGGACATGATCACCACATTCAAGATTCTGAAGGGAATAAAGGCTATTTAACACAAGGGGCACACGCACAAGGGGACACAGGTGGAAACTGAGTGCCCAAATGAGCCACAGAGATATTAGAAAGAACTTTTTTAGTGTCAGAGTGGTTGACAAATGGAATGCATTAGGAAGTGATGTGGTGGAGGCTGACTCCATACACAGTTTCAAGTGTAGATATGATAGAGCCCAATAGGCTCAGGAACCTGTACTCCTGTTGATTGACAGTTGAGAGGCGGAACCAAGGAGCCAGAGCTCAACCCTCGCAAACACAACTAGGTGAGTACAACTAGGTGAGTACACACACACACACACACACACACACCCTAGGGGCCTCGTAGCCTGGTGGATAGCGCGCAGGATTCGTAATTCTGTGGCGCGGGTTCGATTCCCGCACGAGGCAGAAAAAAATGGGCAAAGTTTCTTTCACCCTGAATGCCCCTGTTACCTAGCAGTAAATAGGTACCTGGGAGTTAGTCAGCTGTCACGGGCTGCTTCCTGGGGTGTGTGTGTGTGGTGTGGGAAAAAAAAAAAAAAAAAAAGTAATTAGTAAACAGTTGATTGACAGTTGAGAGGCGGGCCGAAAGAGCAAAGCTCAACCCCCGTAAAAACACAACTAGTAAACACACACACACACCTTGCCTTCATAGTAGGGATAAAGCTTGCCAACGGAGCCCACTGGAAGGTCGCTGTTGTCCCAGGACGAAGCAACAGTTCCACAGGTCTCGGTGAGGCCGTAGCCCCGGCCAACCACCTTGCCACTCTGAGGGGCACAAGAACAGTCTTACTCCGGTGGGTCGTGGAGGGGAGGGGGGTGGTTCAGGGACAGGGTGCTGCTTCAGGAGCAGGAGGAGGAGGATTCAGGGGAGGAAAGTGATGATGATGATGTTTTCACTCTTAGTAATATGTCACTTGGGGGAAGGATTGTCCTTGTCAAGAGTGTCGTGTCTGCTGAAGCACTTGATACTCAACGTTGAGGCTCTAAAACTAATAATAATTTTCAGAAGCCCTCAATTTAATTTTTATTTTAAGGTAAAGCCCTAAATTAAGGAGTGAGACGCAAAAAACTATTATTGGGATTTAAGGCGTTGAAACGAGTAAATATTGGGAAATTTGGATTTAAAATGATTTAACATTGTTAGTTGAGACTATAAATGTACCGAGCATGGTGAGGTACAACTATAGAGCACTGGGATATGAGGCTGCAACAATGAAAACTGAAAACAAACAAAAAATGCACATCCCATGATGTGCCTCTGTAACCTTTTCCACCACCGCCCACAGGATGGGTATGGGGTGGATAATAAATGACTAAATTGAACTAAAGGATTAAGTTCAAGAGAGTTTATAATCTAATGGGCCTTGAAAATTAGGCCTTATTGGCCCTTATAATTTGAGAATTTATAATCTAATAGGCCTTGAAAATTAGGCCATATTGGCCCTTATAATTAAATATTTTATAACCTAATGGGCCTTGAAATGTATGTCTTAAAGTTAGTGGACGCTGAAAGGATAAAAGACGAATTTACAAAACTGATATACATTGAATTCCAGATTACTGAATTACATCCCTTAAAATTTCAACTGGGCTGCTGATGGTCCCGGAGCCGCGTGGCAGCAGCTACCTTCTGAGTGATGGAGGCCAAGGTGGAGGCGGTGACAGGTCCCGCCCCGCAGCCGAAGGCCCTCAGGGAGGAGAGGTCGTACTGGCCCAGGACCGCTGTGTTGCTCAGGTACTGGGCGATGTGCGGCACTACTGGCGCGAAGGTCACCTGGCGGGCAGAGTCCACCGTCAGGGGCAGTACCGAGGAGGGTGTTATATTCTACGTGGAGGGTGTCATATACTACATGGAGGGTGTCATATACTGCATGGAGGGTGTCATATAAGAGTCATATACGCTTGCTCTCTAGTTTGTTTACGACTATCTGGGGTCGTTGAGTCAGCAACATGACAGAGGAGATGTGTTGTCTACAGCAAGTTGTGTGTAGAGTCACACCTGGCAACAAGGGTCATGTCTGAGGTCAACACGTGATGACCAAGGCAGGCGTGGTGGGTCAGAGTCACGGGTGTGGCTCTTGGCAGCACCTCCTTGTTGTAACACGGGGAGGGGTTCTCGAATGAGCTTTCCTTCTTCTCCCCCTCTACCCGTATTCTTACTTTTTATACTCTACCAAGGGACTCCAAAACTTTTACTAACGCCTACTCCACGCCACATGGTCCTAAGACGATTGATCGACTTAGGATTCTACAACCCGTATGACGTGACCTAGGCTTCGAGCAAAACCCTAGAGTCGCCTCCGCCGCCACCACCAGACCAGTAACACAGAGCAATGATCGAGGTCTGGATCGATCATGCTAATTAATCAACCTTGGGGCTTGATCCCCACTATAACCGATGATCTTGGAACTTGAGTGTGGAATTAATTAAACGGGAATGATGAATTCCGATTCGATGTTAGAATCGGCGCCCAATTCAACTCTGCCTCGTGTGGACCACGTGACCAGGACCAATTCATATACATATAACAAACACATGGAAATAATAAAAATGCAAATTTACTAGCTATTAATTTATTAAAAGAAAAACTAAAACAAAATCTAAATGGTTATCACTCCCTACTGGAACACTCCCTAATTGACCTGAACGGCAATGAATTGACTATCCCTATAAGAACTCATAAAGCAACTCTACCTTGGGCGACCAGCTAGATGCTGTCGGGAGGCCGATGATGGTAAGGCCACCTGCCCGAGTTGTTTCTCAAACCACACTAATCTGTCCTGTCTCTGGTCTTCCCCAGACTAGAGCATTGTATTGTTCCGCATCGCTTACCAAGTTACTTAGCAAGGTTTAAGTTATAACAATTAACCTCTGTTGTACTTAATTGATCCAGACTGGTTGAATTATTTTATTGAAGTTAAATTACACAAGCATCTAACGGCAGAGCTGTTCCCGATCACCAAATGGCTATTTAACCTTTGAGAAATAGTGGACATGTCAACTCTGATGACCTATGACCGCCGGTCACTCCGCCTTACAACTTAGATCTGGTTCGTGACGTCACTGATGGTGACTTAACTCAAGTCTCCTAATAATTAGAATACTCTTGGTACTATAACCAGGAATATTATACAATACCATTTTAATACAAAATGAATAAAGGCTAATTTCTCTAAATAAGTGAATACTATAGAATGGTTCATTATACAAAACTCTGAATAAGGCGTCAATTATTTTCACCGCGAATTCCCTGGGGTCAGGTCCCGGGTCACCACGCGGGTCCAGCTTCCCATTCTCCCTTGTAGATAAAACATTCTGAATAATTCTTACAACCAGCCTAGTTTGTTACATTGTCTCTCACACCAGACCTTCTTCACTTCCTATCTTTCGTGCTGGAAAACGTCTTTACACATATATACTCACACGCACACACACACACAGCCTTGCGGCTGAGTGGACAGCGCTCGGGGGTCGTAGTCCTAAGGACCCGGGTTCGTTTCCCGGCCGAGGCAGAAACAAATGGGCAGAGTTTCTTTCATCCTGATTGCTCCTGTTCACCTAGCAGTAAACAGGTACCTGGGAGTTAGACAGCTGCTACGGGCTGTTTCCTGGGGATGTGTGTTTGTGTGTGTGTGTGTGTGTGTGCGTATGTTAGAGAGAAATATATGTAGTAGGCATATTAGAGGAAAAATAAATTGCTTAGAAAGGCGGGGTCCAAGAGCTAATAGCTCGATTCTGCAGACACAAATAGTAAAGTAAATACACACACACACACACACACACAACCTACATTGGGGGGTCTGGTAGCTGAGCTGACAGCGCGCAGGGCTCGTAATTCTGTGACCCGGGTTCGATTCCCGGACCAGGCAGAAACAAATGGGCAAAGTTCCTTTCACCCTTAATGCCCGTGTTACCTAGCAGTAAATAGGTACCTGGGAGTTAGACAGCTGTTACGGAGCTGCTTCCTGGAAGTGTGTGTGTGGGGGGGGGGGGAATATAAAAATTAGTTAGTAATTAGTTACAGTTGATTGATTGACAGTTGAGCCGACCGTCCAAGTGGTTTTGCACCATTCCTAACCCTTCGTCGCATCCTAAATCCTTATCCTGATCCCTTCCAAGGGCTATATAGTCTAATGGCTTGGCGCTTTCTCCTCGCAGTTCCCTTCCCTTCCGTATCTGCCTTTCTCTCTACTTTCTCCGCCCACTTCCACTCACCTTGTACTTGTGGATAGCGTGGAAGAAGTGTTCAGGGATAAAGTTGGTCATGAGGACGACGGTGCCCCCAGAGGCGAGACAGTTCATCATCATGGTGTAGCCATAACCGTGGTAGAGCGGCAGCATCACCAGCACCTTCTCCGTCACTCTGGGGCTCCCAGGAGGACGCAGCCCACTTAAGTACCTGCAGGAGGGTGGAAATAGCCTAAACTACTCTGTCTCTTTCAGATGTATTTTATTGTCTCAACAAACGTACATGAAGTACCTGCACAGGGAGCAGGGATTATATTGGCCGGGAATTGTAAAGTCGGTGGATGTGCACCATGAATCTATGTGTATGTGTTCACTTAAGTAGTAGATGTATTGATGTATGTACACTTACTCTTGAGGGTGCGCGACACTTGCCCTGGATGAAGCAGAAAACACTTACTTGCCCTGGAGGAAGGCGGTGAGGAGGTTGGTGTGGCTCAACATAACACCCTTGGGCATCCCTGTGGTGCCGGTGGAGAAGAGGATCATGGCTTTGGTGGTCCGGGGGTTTAGGTTCGAATCCTAGGGAAGGAACAGAAGATAATTCAAGTTCAAGTATGTTTATTGAGACAAGAAAAAATACATCTCAAAGGGATAGAGTAGCTTAGGCTATTTCTACCCCCTTAGAAGATGATGATGTTGGTGTATCATCCCTCACGCCAAGGCGTCTGCGTTATAACAGAACTCCAGATGTTCACTCAGGGATTCAAATCTAGACCACCAGGGCCAGTACTGTACCCACTCACCCAATGATGGCATCATAAGTGTTGGCAAATTGAGAGAAATACATGCATGCAGCACCCTGATACGCTCCTGAGGAATGTGAACAGTTATTTCATTAATTCCTTGACTATGCTAAGATCGCACTGAGTATCACGTGTTATGTGTTGGATACATGGAGGTCACATGACTTTCCAACACTGAAGGTCATGTGCACATGTTTACAATTCAGTGTGGTGGGTTGTGTAAGGACTGGCCCTCGGGAGGCAGCAGGTGGGCAGGTACTGGGGATGGTAGCAACATGGTGATGGAAACCCGGTACTGATAAAGTCATGAACAGATATTAAAGCAATAGTTTGACTGATATACAAATTTAATATTTTGCAGACATCGTTGTATATTTTTTGCAATATTGTAAGAATAACAAAATAACAAAATTAATTCAGAGTTGAGTTAATATAATATTGCAAGATTTGTCGTGAGGTTTGCTTTGGCCCCGTGTCAAGTGGCACTCGTTTCATTGATGCCAACCCTCAACAAGCCCATGTTGGCTATGTACCACAAAACAATTTGTTAAAAATTTTGTGAGGCTATCCCCAAGAGTCTGGTCTACTTCGACCAGATAGATATTCTCATTTATAGATATAGACTCAGATGAGGTACCTGGTGGCGCCCGTGTAGACCCAGGTCGGTCAGGTACGGGGATGGACCAGGCGAGACCTATAACCTAGTATGTGATCGTCCTAGTGTGATATCTCTGCCACCTGCCGCCCTGCCAACCTAACCTGCTGGCCGCCCACCCTGCTACTCACACACCGCATATGTAAGACCAATCCTGGAGTATGCGGCCCCAGCATGGAGCACGTACCTTGTCAAGCACAAGACGAAGCTGGAAAAAGTCCAAAGGTATGCTACTAGACTAGTCCCAGAACTAAGAGGCATGAGTTATGAGGAAAGGCTGCGGGAAATGCACCTTACGACACTGGAAGACAGAAGAGTAAGGGGGGACATGATCACAACCTACAAAATCCTCAGGGGAATCGACCGGGTAAACAAGGATGAACTATTCAACACTGGTGGGACGCGAACAAGGGGACACAGGTGGAAGCTGAGTACCCAAATGAGCCACAGAGACGTTAGAAAGAACTTTTTCAGTGTCAGAGTAGTTAGTAAATGGAATGCATTAGGAAGTGATGTGGTGGAGGCTGACTCCATACACAGTTTCAAATGTAGATATGATAGAGCCCAGTAGGCTCAGGAATCTGTACACCAGTTGATTGACGGTTGAGAGGCGGGACCAAAGAGCCAGAGCTCAACCCCCGCAAGCACAATTAGGTGAGTACACACCCACTCTGCCGCCCGACGACCCTACCACCCGCCCACCCGTCCACCAACTATGCCTGCCCTGCCACCCACCTCCTTACTCAACCATCTGCTCTACCACCACCTGTGTAAGAAAAAAAAATCCTTATAGTACAGTACAGTACTTACCTGGGAAGTCGGTTGAGAGAGGTCGGTGTTCATGAGGGAGGCGAGGGCGGGTGCACCTGTGGCCTGACCCAGCGCCCACACCTGGCTCATGGTGTCCTGGGGAAGGTGGACGAGTGCCTCCTTCACCACCACGCCCACCTCACCCACAACCGCCCACCGCGCCCCACTCACCCGCACCACCTCACCCACCTCCTCTGTCCAATGTAAAGAAATTATTTTTTTTCAATTTTTGCTACTTGAGTCATGCAGAGTTCTTCTCTTGTACAATGTAGCCACACATACTGCCATACCCTGTGGCAGAGTTACACATTACAACTGTAGCCACACATACTGCCATACCCTGTGGCAGAGTTACACATTACAACAGTAGCCACACATACTGCCATACCCTGAACTAGGTTAAACCCTGGCACTGTTGCCACATTGACTGATGTGGAGTCTTACCTGGGGAGAGGGCAGGGCTGACGGGGACGCAGGCCGCCCCTCGGAGCATCACCGCCAGCAGCACCAGCAGGACATCTATGTGTGGGGGTGGTGGTGGTAGTTGTGGTCAGGGTGGTGGTGGTGGTGGTTGTAGTTGTGGTCAGGGTGGTGGTGGTGGTGATAGTTGTGGTCAGGGGTGGTGGTGGTGGTGATAGTTGTGGTCAGGGTGGTGGTGGTGGTGTTAGTTGTGGTGGTGGTAGGGTGGTGGTGGTGGTGGTAGTTGTGGTCAGGGTGGTGGTGGTAGTTGTGGTCAGGGTGGTGGTGGTGGTGGTAGTTGTGGTCAGGGTGGTGGTGGTAGTTGTGGTCAGGGTGGTGGTGGTAGTTGTGGTCAGGTGTGGTGTTGTGGTGGTGGTGTTGTGGTCCTGGTGGTGGTGTTGTGGTGGTGGTGGTGGTGATAGTTGTGGTCAGGGTGGTGGTGGTAGTTGTGGTCAGGGTGGTGGTGGTGGTGGTGATAGTTGTGGTCACGGTGGTGGTGGTGGTAGTTGTGGTCAGGGTGGTGGTGGTAGTTGTGGTCAGGGTGGTGGTGGTGGTGGTAGTTGTGGTCAGGGTGGTGGTGGTGGTGGTAGTTGTGGTCAGGGTGGTGGTGGTGGTGGTAGTTGTGGTCAGGGTGGTGGTGGTGGTGGTAGTTGTGGTCAGGGGTGGTGGTGGTGGTGGTAGTTGTGGTCAGGGTGGTGGTGGTGGTGGTGGTAGTTGTGGTCAGGGTGGTGGTGGTGGTGATAGTTGTGGTCAGGGTGGTGGTGGTGGTGGTGGTAGTTGTGGTCAGGGGTGGTGGTGGTGGTGGTAGTTGTGGTCAGGGGTGGTGGTGGTGGTGGTAGTTGTGGTCAGGGGTGGTGGTGGTGGTGGTAGTGGTGTGGTCAGGGTGGTGGTGGTGGTGGTAGTGGTGGTCAGGGTGGTGGTGGTGGTGGTGGTAGTTGTGGTCAGGGTGGTGGTGGTGGTGGTGGTAGTTGTGGTTCAAGGTAGGTGGTGGTAGTTGTGGTTCAAGGTAGGTGGTGGTAGTTGTGGTCAGGGTGGTGGTGGTGGTGGTAGTTGTGGTCAGGGTGGTGGTGGTGGTGATAGTTGTGGTCAGGGTGGTGGTGGTGGTGGTAGTTGTGGTCAGGGTGGTGGTGGTGGTGGTAGTTGTGGTCAGGGGTGGTGGTGGTGGTGATAGTTGTGGTCAGGGTGGTGGTGGTAGTTGTGGTCAGGGTGGTGGTGGTGGTGGTAGTTGTGGTCAGGGTGGTGGTGGTGGTGGTAGTTGTGGTCCTGGGGGCCCTGGTGGTGGTAGTTGTGGTCAGGGGTGGTGGTGGTGGTAGTTGTGGTCAGGGTGGTGGTGGTGGTGGTGGTAGTTGTGGTCAGGGGTGGTGGTGGTGGTGGTAGTTGTGGTCAGGGTGGTGGTGGTGGTGGTAGTTGTGGTCAGGGGTGGTGGTGGTGGTGGTAGTTGTGGTCAGGGTGGTGGTGGTGGTGGTAGTTGTGGTCAGGGGTGGTGGTGGTAGTTGTGGTCAGGGTGGTGGTGGTGGTAGTTGTGGTCAGGGTGGTGGTGGTGGTGGTGGTAGTTGTGGTCAGGGGGGTGGTGGTGGTGGTAGTTGTGGTCAGGGGTGGTGGTGGTGGTGGTAGTTGTGGTCAGGGTGGTGGTGGTAGTTGTGGTCAGGGTGGTGGTGGTGGTAGTTGTGGTCAGGGTGGTGGTGGTGGTAGTTGTGGTCAGGGGTGGTGGTGGTGGTAGTTGTGGTCAGGGTGGTGGTGGTGGTGGTAGTTGTGGTCAGGGTGGTGGTGGTGGTAGTTGTGGTCAGGGTGGTGGTGGTGGTGGTAGTTGTGGTCAGGGTGGTGGTGGTGGTGGTAGTTGTGGTCTGGGTGGTGGTGGTGGTGGTAGTTGTGGTCAGGGGTGGTGGTGGTGGTAGTTGTGGTCAGGGTGGTGGTGGTGGTGGTAGTTGTGGTCAGGGGTGGTGTTGGTGGTGGTAGTGGTGGTGGTGGGGGTGGTGGTGGTGGTAGTTGTGGTCAGGGTGGTGGTGGTGGTAGTTGTGGTCAGGGGGCCCTGGTGGTGGTAGTTGTGGTCAGGGTGGGGGCCCTGGTGGTGGCAGTTGTGGTCAGGGTGGTGGTGGTGGTAGTTGTGGTCAGGGTGGGGGTGGTGGTGGTGGTAGTTGTGGTCAGGGTGGTGGTGGTGGTAGTTGTGGTCAGGGTGGTGGTGGTAGTTGTGGTCAGGGGTGGTGGTGGTAGTAGTTGTGGTCAGGGTGGGGGTGGTGGTGGTGGTAGTTGTGGTCAGGGTGGTGGTGGTGGTAGTTGTGGTCAGGGTGGGGGTGGTGGTGGTGGTAGTTGTGGTCAGGGTGGTGGTGGTGGTAGTTGTGGTCAGGGTGGTGGTGGTGGTAGTTGTGGTCAGGGTGGTGGTGGTGGTAGTTGTGGTCAGGGTGGTGGTGGTGGTAGTTGTGGTCAGGGTGGTGGTGGTGGTAGTTGTGGTCTTGGTGGTGGTGGTGGTGGTAGTTGTGGTCAGGGTGGTGGTGGTAGTTGTGGTCAGGGTGGTGGTGGTGGTAGTTGTGGTCAGGGTGGTGGTGGTGGTAGTTGTGGTCAGGGTGGTGGTGGTGGTGGTAGTTGTGGTCAGGGTGGTGGTGGTAGTTGTGGTCAGGGTGGTGGTGGTGGTGGCAGTTGTGGTAGGGTGGTGGTGGTGGTGGTGGTAGTGGTCCATACACAGAGTATGACCAACATCGCACATCAGGACTGACATAGAGACGATGTGTAAACACGCTCGCTTCTGAAACCATCACACAATGTTTACTTCAAAAGTTGCTTTCAAAATTATATTTCTTTAATATTTATCTTTGGATAGAATTAATATAGAGAATTAAGGTGAGTAAACTGAAACGAGTCAACACATTTCATTGTGGCCGCACGCTCGCCCGGAACACTGGGAGCATTACGGGGAAGTCTGCGGCGGCCACGCCCCGTGTGGCACAGTGTTTTAAGAATAAAATTAAATTTTGTTTTGGATTTTTTGTTAAATTTATATTTTAAATATATATCATTGCAGTCATTTGTTTTGTTTCGTTGCGAAGACTAAGTTTTTAGTAACTGGGTACGTGTTAATTTATGTATTATGTAAAAATGTTATCAACATCGGATATAAACTAAAGAAGACTCAAGCAAAAGCAAAATGGAGTTTGAAATTTTGAATTTGTTCATAAAAATTTCCAAGAATTGTATAGTCTCCGTATAGAAGATAGAATTGTATAGTTTAGCAGTCTCCGTGGTGTAGTGGTAAGACACTCGCCTGGCGTTCCGCGAGCGCTATGTCATGGGTTCGTATCCTGGCCGGGGAGGATTTACTGGGCGCAATTCCTTAACTGTAGCCTCTGTTTAACGCAACAGTAAAATGTGTACTTGGATGAAAAAACGATTCTTCGCGGCAGGGGATCGTATTCCAGGGACCTGCCCGAAACGCTACGCGTACTAGTGGCTGTACAAGAATGTAACAACTCTTGTATATATCTCAAAAAAAAAAAAGTCATATTGGCTTAGCGCTTTCTCCTCATAATTACTTTACCTGTACACTACCTATATGAGGCCAAGACCAGAGTACGCAGCACTTGCATAGAACCCGCACCTAAGAGAAGTATAAGTACTGAAATATGATCAAATACTGATAGCAATGGATTTTACCATAATCATTTAATCAAGAGAAGAAATAGGAGACACGATTGCGACATACAAAATCCTTGGGAATATTCGCAAAGTATATAAAGTCAAAATGTTTAACAAGTATAGCAGCAGAGCAACAGGTCATGGAAGGAAACACTCGAGATTGAATGTCGCCCAGAAATTCAGCGGCCAACAGGAAGATCTATCCTATGCAGAAAAGTGAATATGAAGAGCATGATTACTCCATAGATAAGCACACACACACACACACACACACACACACACACACACACACACACACACACACACACACACACACACACACACACACACACACACACACACACACACACACACACACACACACTAAATCAGCAAGATATATATATGGAGAGAGAGCACAAGGTTGGAAGGTTGAAACTGACCAGCGCCACCTGCTCCCCGTGTTTGGTCAGCTCACTAAGGACGAACATGGAGAAATTGATGTCCGGGATGGAGGGGAGGCGGGCCGAGTCGTCCCATCTTAGGATCCGGGGTCCTCCTACAGTTTGGCCTTCCTTAACTTTCTTGAGTCCTTCACCGTTCTTGGTGGCTTTGTGACCTGCTCCATCCCCCATGGCTCCTTGTCTTCGCACAGAGTCTTCATTAGCTTCCTGACCTACTGTATTGTCTTCTTTGGTTTCTAGAGCTCCTACATTGTTCTTCTTGGCATCTTGATCTCCTGCAGCATCTTTATTTGTTTCTTGACCTTTTGCAGCATCCTTCTTGACTTCCTGATAACCTGCATTGTCCTTCTTAGCTTCTTGACCTCCTGGAGCGTTCAACATCATGTTCCTCAATTCCTGTAAAGAAACAAATAAGTTGGTAGCCATTCACCCTATGCAAAGAAAACACATAAATATACAATATAAATCTCGGGTTATAGCACAAGATTTTAGTTTACTTTATAAAGCCTGAACAAAAAATCCAAAATAGAAAAATTTTAGGTATCGTGAAATCTATAAATAACTTTGCAGGTATTGATGAAAATTTTACCAAATCTTCACCCGACATTTGGAGGAGACATTCAAATTTCGCCACATAGCCAAAACAAAATATAAATATATAGTTTACTAAAGGCCCACTTTTCTCGGAGTTTTTCAGTGACTATTGTATAAAATTTACTTACAAATTTATTGGTATATTTTAAGACGCTTTAGAATCTTCGTAACTCATTTTTAAAACGATGCTGTTGTATGGGTTCGTGCAGCTTATACGGAAGTAAATTGGATTCTAGAGTATTTTCCCGGGTAATTTTCCACCCACAGCCGCTTGGTCAGTTTGTTGCATTAGTGGAGCATTGTCAACCCTGGGCGGTCAGGCTTGACTATTAGTATTTCTGTAACGGTGCCTTTAGGTCATGATATGATGCCTCACGTATTCTAAAATTGTGCCATTCATTTCCTGAAATGTTGCACACACACGTAACATATGTAACCTGGAGAGGAGTACACTCGCAAAATATATCTAACCACAACATTTTCTGAACACAAGAGCCTGGTCTTGGTCGACCACTACTCATAAACAAGGCACAAACTGTCATTGCCGCCATTGGTAGACACTTATCACCTACTTGATAGTATGATTATGATAATGTCTCGCCCTGACTATGTTTGGACTCTGCTGCCCTATGTCCCCTTCTGTGAGCCCACCACAAACTGTCTTCTGGGCCTTCTCACTGGTCCTAGGAAAGTCCACCTGTCTCCAGACGACCACTGACGCAGCCCTTCTAGCTAAACATGACTTTGGGTTCTTGAGACGGCGTGTACAGTTTTTTTTTCACTTTTTACCTTTGCTCGAATGACATCTGTTGTGGGCCTCCTTACAAGCATCTTAAAGCAAATACATCAAGCTGGGAAAAGCAACCAATCATCCAATCACATGGGCGACCTGTGTGCCGCACAAGAAAGGTCACTTACCATTGGCTGACAAAAACCATAGTAGACAAAAACTCCCTCGCCTTTCAGAACGTTCTTTGAAATTTCAGAGCCAGAAAACAAATGAAAAACTATTATATCCGTTCTTACCTACAATGGTGTTTAGGTAGGAACGGATACCTGGCTAAATGCAAGTTGTCGGAAATTCCGACACCAATTACTAACACTTAACATGATATGCTGAGAAATAATTGCTGTTTCATGTTAAGTAAATTCTAATCATTAATATCTTAGTTAATCATACAAAAACATTTGGGTTTCGTAGCATCTCTTAGAAAATTAGATATTTTGCCACGTCACCTTTCTATTTATCCCTAAAACTTATATTAAACAATTTTTAAGCCACCAGTCTGGAGACCAGAAAAAATACAAAAGTATTTCCCAAGACTGGATATAATTAAATAATAAATAAAATAAGCTCCTCCGTCCGTTTGTCCATAAATGGTCAGAAACTGAACCGATCACGCGAGGCGTCGCTTGATCGAGGAGGGAGGAGACGCCATTAATTGGAACAACAGCTTCCCTGCCTAACCAACACGTTGGTACGAGCAACGGAGAATCTTCCCGCTAGTCACAGTTGCTGAGGACGCCAGTGTCTATAAACATCAGCAAGACTACGCTGAGCATAGCAGAGTGCTCCAGTCCTGGTTGATATGCACAATAATTCATATTTGGCCTTATATGTTTATTAATATTATTTGATTAGATTGCAGAACAGCCACCCGGAACGGGTAAGTGTCTACCTAAAGTTAATAACTTTCCTCATGACATATCTGCCATATATTTGTTACTGTTTATTACGATGTAACCATTTGGCAGGTGAAATTGAGAGGAGAGAAATATTGGTGTAACACCACGACTGGTTCTCGTAATGCGGGTGACGACGCCAGCAGCCTCATGGTCCCGAGGACTGGCCGCCTGATCTGGACGTGTCCATTATTGTCAACCAGACAACATTCTTCAAAATCAGCTAAGACTAACGACCATTATTATTAAACCGTTTACAGAAATGTAGATTAAGAGTAGAAACTATCAATCGATTAATTTCGATTAGGCTAACAATATAAATAACCCCCCCCCCCAGGCGTGTGACGGGAAACTACTAACGGGACGTCAACATATAAATCATACAGTCCACTCTCTATAAAGGAATAAATTAAATATAAACAATCCAATGAATAAATAATTAAATAAATAACTAAATCCTACTAGTCAGTTTTCCCCACACAAGTACTGTATGTTCATGGATTAACTCTCATACCGAAAGAGGTGGATTTTACGATGGTCTGGTAACTCAACACTACATTAATTTTATTACAGTAACTATATATAACTGCATTACATTACAACACTACATAAGAATCACTAAGGAAATCAAACAGTAAAATTTGGAAATTCAAAACAATTTAAATGTAGGGAAGTGCAGGAAGGCATAGTAAAACACTTTGACGAGCATGAGTAGCGCCACGCTTAACAACTTACATAGTAAGTTGTTCTATGTAAGTATGTAAATTGTTACTTACTATGTAAGTTGTTAGCAGTGCTCTCACCCAGTAGGACATGCCATAATGTCTCTATACTGGCTGGCGTGGTGAACGCCCTTCAGGCTCCTGTAACTGAGTACTCAGTAACACACTACGGTATATGTCGTCTAACATTTCTAACTGTCCACGGACGCCAGAAGAAAAGGTATACATATGCTAGTTAGCATTACATAAATGAATAATCGCGTCTATGGTAGAAAAAACAATGTCAATGAGATGGATATACGAGTTCATATTATAAACTAACTTATAACAACAGATGCTGACACGCCAAACATTTGTGATGATAATCTTACTTACCTCTTCTGTCACAAATGTGTATGTATGTATATATATATATATATATATATATATATATATATATATATATATATATATATATATATATATATATATATATATATATATATATATATATATATATATATATATATATATATATATATATATATATATATATATATATATATATATAATCTCAGGATGCTGGGGACGCACTAGGGTGCTGGGGACGCACTAAGGTGCCGGGGACGCACTAGGATGCCGGGGACGCACTAAGGTGCCGGGGACGCACTAAGGTGCCGGGGACGCACTAGGGTGCCGGGGACGCACTAGGGTGCCGGGGACGCACTAGGGTGCCGGGGACGCACTAGGGTGCCGGGGACGCACTAGGGTGCCGGGGACGCACTAGGGTGCCGGGGACGCACTAGGGTGTCGGGGACGCACTAAGGTGCCGGGGACGCACTAGGATGCCGGGGACGCACTAGGATGCCGGGGACGCACTAGGGTGCTGGGGACGCACTAAGGTGCCGGGGACGCACTAAGGTGCTGGGGACGCACTAAGGTGCTGGGGACGCACTAAGGTGCTGGGGACGCACTAAGGTGCTGGGGACGCACTAAGGTGCCGGGGACGCACTAGGGTGCTGGGGACGCACTAAGGTGCCGGGGACGCACTAAGGTGCCGGGGACGCACTAGGGTGCCGGGGACGCACTAGGGTGTCGGGGACGCACTAGGGTGCAGAGTCCGGTGACGCTGTGTTGCTCCCAGCAAGCAAGACTGGTCACTAACCCCGGGGTCCAGCGTCCAGGGTCTACTATCTGGACCTGTCCAGCCTTACAAATATGGAAGTACTCATGAGCCGGTTATTTTATAGTGTGTGATAAAATCGAACAAAACATTGAAGGGTTAAATATACTCATTATTTGCTTATGCATTCAGTATACATGGAAAACGGAGAAAGATGTGTAAATATATATATATGGGCTCCTGGCGACACTTACCAGACAAGCCACTCCACCCTCATGCAACAACAAATATACACCTACGTATATATATATATATATATATATATATATATATATATATATATATATATATATATATATATATATATATATATATATATATATATATCTTGCATAGTGTGTTATCTACATACATTACTGCTCTATTATTCTGTCTTGTAGTATACACAATTGTACACCTTTAATTGTGTTCACTTTCCATTCATTTAGTTTAGAGGCCTCTTCATAGCCTCGTGACTTCGTCTGCCTCTGGTAAAGTACTAAGAGAACTAATTTCAGCCAATCCTTTCGAATAATACATCGTATTTTGACGTCAAAATCTCCAACAGATAAAATATGTTTTCTATGAGTGGGTCATTCGGTTATGTTAGGTTAAGATAGATTCGGGTGTTCTAGCACAACATTTTCTGTCCGTTGTGGTATCTGAAGAAGACGGGCTACATATCTCCTTGTATTGTAGGCAGTGAGAATCAGGGGTCGTGTAGCACAGGAGTCTACGTGCTCGGCTCACAACCGAGGGGCTCTGGTTCAACCCCGGGCAAGGACAGAAATAGCTGGGCATGTTTACTTGCATCTAGTGCTCCCGGTCACTTAGCAGTAAAATAGGTACCAAGGATCTAGGCAACTGTTGTGGGTTGCATCCTGGGGAAGGTCAGTATAGTTGGCCTGAGGGGGACCTCGGTGAGCCTAAATAAAGTCTTCCTGCTCCCGACAACGGAAATTTAAAGTATATACATTTTCATGTGTTCTATATATACAGGGTTAGACAGCTGCCACAATTCATTGTGATTATTGAGCATTCAGCCATAGTAGGTGATTGAAGTGTTTTTAGAATTCATACATACGCGTGTTCTACATAGACAGGGTTAGGGATCTGTTCTGGTACATATAGTGGGGGTGGGTTATTAAGCACTCAACCACACCAGGGGAATACGGGGACCTGTTGCCTGGTTGGGCACTTACAGTATATTAACACTGCTGCCAACTATGACTCTCCCACGTTATCTGCATTTAGACGCTCCTCGCTTCCGACTGTATATGCTTAAGAGAGTACATAATGCAGTTATCACTCGCGGTAACTGTGTAAAGTCCTCAGCTGGCCTTCACGTGGCACTCCTGATTTTGCAAACAGCTGAGGTGTCCCCCCTGCTGCTGCTCTAAGGGAATCATCTGTCTACCTGCAGTAGGGGCCACTTCTCCGTGACATTTGGTTTGAGCTACCCCAAAGGCCGTCTGCCCCGTAAATATGGAGGGAGATGGCGAAGCATCTCATAATGAATGTCATTGGAGTCCGCTGCCATAGAACCGCAGAGGGCCAGGGTAAATTGGAGTTCGGAGAGAGAAAAATGATTTTATAGGGAAGCTGGAGATGCGTTCATAAATCTTAGGGACAAGATTCAAAAAAAGGGCCTCTTTGAGGAGGATGTTTTCCTTGAAATTCAATTTTAGCTTCTCAGTTGAGCACCTCCTTTAGCAAAGTCAAGTGCGTGTCCTTTGATTTCCTTATCCACCAGGCAGCACAGTGTAGCTGGAGCATTGGCTAGCTCGAAGGCTTTTTCAAGATCCAGAAAAAATAAGGATTCCTGGTTTGACATTGAATTTGATCCAGGAGGGAGGTAAAGCATTCTGTGGTTCCGACACCTTTTATGTAAGCAAACATATTTTGGTGCAGTAGTTTGACTTTCCAGTCAATTCGATTAAGAACCATTCTTTCTGCAGTTTTGACCAGACAGCTTGTTAATGAGATGGGTCTTGGATTCCTGGGTTTTGGGTTTAGTTAGTCCCTTAACTCCCCTTGCCACTTCGGATGGGGGGGGGGGTTTATAGGATTTTTATATAGCTTGAGGGCACCAATCCCCCCAGCCACTGGGCATGGTGAGAAGGCACCCCCTAAGTATACATATTTCCCTATCAACACAAACTAAAATATATATAAATGGTAGATGGCAATCTCAACCCACAAGAGTTAAGTTGATGATAATAACATGTAAAATGGAAAATTATTTTGTATTTTGTTTTTCTTATATAAAACACAGCACACAAAGA